TTATAGCAAAGCGAATATAGCAGCTTACTTCATAAACGGCAAATTCTTCTCTGTTACACTCCGGCTTTCAGACATAATCGAATTAGCTCCGATCTGTGCTGATGCCGCTGCTCTGAGCCTCAGTAACGAGGATTATCGAGACCTGATATGCGCACCGGTGTCGTTGTGCAGTGACGGAGGTGGACCCGCACCAGCCCGAAAATCTGCAGGTACCGTCCAAGGTTTTAACTTTTATTCTTCCTGAAGAAGATTTAAAGCGGCTCTGTACAATAGTCAAAGAAGAATAATCAGCTGTGGGAAATACAACAGATCATAAGAGCAGTTTAACAGGGAGAGAGGGAGAAAAGCCCGCAGATCAAACCAACAGCTCGGAGTGCCCTGCGTGGGGACAGGCGGGCCGCCTGCCTGGTCCCTGACCCCGTCAGGAGGGGGCAAGGGGGCGCTCGGGGAAAATGCCTTCTGCTGGAAAGCTGGTGGTTTCGGAGCAGACTTTGCAAAAAAAAAAAAAAAAAAAAAAAAAAAAAAAAAAAAAAAAAAAAAAAAAAAAAAAAAAAAAACCAAACAAACAAAAAAAAAACACCCTCAGCATTTATCTGGGTAGATTCTGTGTGATTTTTTAGTTTTGACCCGAGATCACTCGCTCAGTGGCTCCCGCGGTCTGTCCCGTTCCACTCCCAGCCCAGGGTGAGGTATCTGGGGGGCTGGACGGCAGAGGCAGGAAAGGAGGGGTTGCTTAGGGAAACTCGCCCCAGCGTGCAGGTAGCCACAAGCCAGGCTGTAATTACAAAGCAAACAAGGGTGAAATATTGAATCTGCCTCGCCCGTGACAAGATCTGCGCTTTTTGCCGCCAATTTGTTTGTGGAGCTCTATTTAAAGGCGCTTGATTGAGGAAACGTTGAAAATAGCAGTTAGGGTTTCCCTAATGAGACCTCTAGAGGAAAGCAGCGGCATTCAGGGGGCTACAGAAGGAGGAGGGGAAGCGCTTAACCCTTTCCAGACGCCCCCGGCCCGGCGGAGCTCCTCCCGGGCTCGGCACCGCCCGCGGGGCGCCGCCGGGGCCGCCCGCCCCCGTGAGGTAAGATAGGCAGGGGGACCAGCCCGCCTTCCCCCCCTCGACCTTCGGCATTTCCAGCATCGGCGGGAGGGGTGCAGGCGGCCCCGCCGGGGCAGTGCCGGGGCAGGGCTGAGCACCCGGCGGCTCCCGGAGTGGGCGGCCCACGGCCCCGAGCGTGCGCCCCGAGAGGAGAGCCGTGTCGGGGCTCTGACTCCCACCGCCCTTTGATGTACTGGGTCGAATTGACGGCTTCCCACGGGCTAATGCTTCAAAACAGGGTGGACGAGGGGAAAAAAAGAAAAAATGAAAAAAAAAAACCAAAAAAGTAAACCAAACAAACCAAACAAAGAACAAAAAAAACAAAACAAAACAAAACAAAAAAGAACGGCCCTTAGAAATCCCGAAAAGACCGGAAATGTATTGAATTAGTAACGAGATGTGTCACATCAACACGCACTGCGCGGGGGCCTGTGACACACCTTCTGCCCATCGCTCCCATTTCTTTTGCTGTGTGAGACTGCCCCGACACACTTTCTCGCAACCTCGCACACGCTACGTGTTCAATTAGCGCCTGTCTGCGACCAGTATCACACACGAATGAAAGCTCTGGTAAAAATGTCGATAATATTTTGAAAGGCGCTAATGCCTATGAGGGAATGTGGATCGCAGTCCTCTTCTGTTTTCTCAAAGGGCTAACACTTGCATGCTATTGATATCACCCTGCTCTCGATTTTATGAATCAACTTTAGCTTCAAAAAACGGGGCTTGGCTTTGCAATGAGCTGCCTACAGGATGTAGGGCCCTAGGATGTTACCCTAGAGCTTCTGATCGCCCCTCTTCCCGGTCACCATACCAGCCTCTGCTCACACATAACTCTCAGCCTGGTTGTATATATATGTATATGTATTGATATATRTGTACACACCTGGAAGGGGATCAAAATAAACTTCTAGGGAATACCTAATAAAAAGTGAGCATTGTCTCTCCCTAGAGGAAAGAAAAAGCGAGCTGCGGAAAAAAAAACCAAGTGTTGACTTAGTAAAATAAGTTCTGCACGCTGATATAAAGCATTTATTTTTTGTTGTCGCATTTACACCCACTCCTTTTGGCCGCGGCTCCGTTTCCCTGTAGGTCTGGGGAGGTACATGACACTCGCTTCTCCATTTTCAGGCTTTTTAACTTTCCTGAAATGAAGAGTAAAGAATTTTTTTCGGCTGAAGCCCAGCAATTAAATATTTTGTGCACCCACAGATAGTTGTATTCGTCTGTACGAACAAATTTCATACAAGGTTGTGCGTTTCTAGTAAAATCTCCTGTATTCTGTTTATATTATGCCATTTCTGTTTGTAATTATTTTATTTTAATTTTATGTCACTTTTAACACAAGCCAGACCGGTTTTCCCTTCATGTTTTGTACACAGTGCTCTCTCTCTCGATAAGATGTTCTGTCCTATCTTTTCAGTTTTTTCTTTTAAAAAATGTTTATAGTTCCCCACGAGCAATTGCCCAATATTTCACTCTTGCATTTTAAGGACTTGTCCCTGTCTTGCTTTATTTGTTTGTGTGAAATTTAGTTTGAAAGGAGATCAGAGAGAGCAGGAGGGATTTGTAATAAGAGAATGACCAAGTGACCTAAAGGCTGATTATATGTCATTAACTGGAGACTTGGTGTATCCAAATTACCAAAAAGACCTCACTCAGCCAGATCAATTACACCGAGATATGCATATAGGAATTGCGGTACGGGCTGATGCTTCCAACAAGTGTGCAGCCGATATTTGTAGGACTCAGCTGCTGAGTTTTCGGACGAGCCCGTGTGCTGCAGCCGGTCCCGGGCAAGCGGGAGCGGCGTGCAGAGCAGCAGGTATACGGCGAGGGAGACACCGGCAGGACGACACCGACATTTTGGGGCGTGCAGTTAAGGCCAAATTGCAGCTAATTTTCACTGCTCCAGAGGGATTTTTCTCTTAAGCCAAGCGAGGTTACCTTTGATCTATGAAGGCTTCTTAAACCCAGCCTCCTTAAATGGAGACTTTCCATGAAGAATGGCAATAGAAGTGTTGATTTTTGTTAACCTAAATATAAAACGATGCCAGCCTAGCCGCCTTCTTCCTCCAATGTCTGAATTTCAGATGCTGGAGGACAAAATACTCGTTAATGAAGGCAATTACGTTGGCGACCTATTTCATCAGCGTCGAGCTTCCCTGGAGTACAAACAAATATTACGTGGAAAACTAGCATGCTTGTCTGTATGTGTGTGCGTGTTTATACACGAGCATGTTTAGGAAATATATATAATAACTCAAAAAAATAGAGGCAAACTATGTTCACTGCAGAATTTTGCAAGGTTTTTATTATCATTCTTCTGACAGAGAAGGGGTCTTGGTTGGAATTCGTTATGTTTTTGTTTTCTTTCCCTGATTCCTTTCCAGGGTCTAAATGCAACTCTGGATCCTCAGTCACAAATATAAGCAGTCCTCCAATAATTGCTTGCACATGCTGTAGTAAAACACGTAGGGTCCCGCGCTTACTGCTAATCATCACGACTTATGAAATGGTCAGTGTCTTGGGTTTTTCTCATCGCTGATCTTTACTCCTTTTTTTTTTCTTTTTTTTTTTCTTTCTTTGTCTACACAACGGCTGCGAGATTATCATGCCTGGAATATGTGGGTGTTCATTACCGATAGTAACGTAAACCAGGGTTCCTCCACCTCCAAGGGCAGCGATTAATTCGGGCCTGCTGGGCCCGATTCCGCCCTCTGCCCTGGGCGTTGAAATCCAGGTTCTATGAGCACAAGAGAGGGTGCAAGCCAGACCTATTAGACACAAGTCCTTTTCATTAACCCGCACTGACAGGTTGACCTCCAAATCATATTTCTCCGTGCCTTTTTTTTTACAAATCCCCCTTTTTTTTTGCGTGTTTATGTTGTTTCACGAACTCCTAAGTGATGTCCCAGAGAAAGAATGCGTCACATCCCTGGCACACGGGATGGTCTGGCATCCCCAAATCCATCTGAGAATGATACCCCTTTCTAATACCTTTGGTCCCGGGTCAATGACATCATGCACTCTATAAATTCAAATCCCTCTCAGTTTTTCAAGCCGTGCACTGGCCAGTTGAGCGATGGGTGGAAGGAGAGGGAACCGGCACCCCGGTACTTAGGGAGCGAACTGCGGGAAGGAGAGCCATCGAGGGGGCTACCCGGCCAGGGATAGCCTTGGGGTGCTCTTGCGTGTCTGATAGTTTCTTTGCTTTAATGAAAATTTTGAACCGAGATCCCTGCGCTGCTGCACGAAGCAGGGACGGGTAGTTCTGGCAACGGTACCGGGCACCGTAGTGGTGACTGCGGCTCCCGCCGCTGCCCTGTCCCGAAAATCGTCCCACCGATACCGGGGACTCCTCAAAAGGAAGGTGCGGTAAAGAAGCAGATGGACGGGCTCGCTGTCCAGGCACCGGTGAGGCGCCTCTCTACCCCTGGCCTGCTCCTCACGGGGCCTGGCCCGGTGCGGCTGCAGTGTTCCCAGACAGCCAGCCCTGGAGTCCCCAGCAGATGTGGGCTTCCGACCACCCAGCGTCGGCATGTCTTCCCCTTTTCCATACGGTTTTCCCCGAGTGATTCTGAGAAATTAGCTTAATTTGCAATTTAGCTTAATTCACACAAGCCCGGGGGGGAAAAGGGGGGAGCGCAGCTCTATTGTTCTGTTATCCCAACTCCCACCCTACTCTTGGTCCGGAGGAGAGAAGTGACCTGGCGATAAGCGGCCCGGCGGCGACTGAGCGCCGGGGCAGGGCAGCGGGTGGCCCCGGCGGCGCTGAGCGGGCGCCCGGCCCGTCGCCCCCCCGCCGCGGGCTCCTGCCCCCGCTCCCCGGGCGCCGCGGGGCACCCACCGCGGGATAAGGGCTGCCCCTTCTCCCGCTCGGCCCTGCGGAAGGCTGCGGGGCTGGAGAGGCAACAACCGCAGGGCAAAACTTAACGGTACAGCCCCACACACCCAGTCCCGACAAAATAAAACAAAATAAATTTTGAAAAAGCGGGTAGAGGAAGAGAAAACCAGCCTCGGCACAATCTCCACCAAAATTTCTTTATTATAGCAAGCGAGGAGAGTCCCTGTTTGGCAGCAGAATCCAGATAAATCGCCGCCTAACATGCAACTATTTTGGCAGGGAAATAAAGTGACATAAGACTTGGGTTTCTTTTCTTTTTTTTTTTTCCTCTGGTTTTTTTTTTCGCCAAATGATGTGTGCACGAAAAGAAACATTCTAATCAAATCATCAAGTGTAAGATTGTCAAAATACTGGTGCTTTTTAGCGAACTTTGAGCATGTTATTTGGAATGGTACTTTGAGCTGCAGCGTTTTTCAACGCGTGGATCAAACAGAAAAGGCTATAAACCATAATCGGGAATTCTGAGTCTTTAAAAGCTGAGGGAGGACACATTTGCTCTAAAACTCACTTTATAAAACTCATAAACAACTTCTGGGATAGGATAGGAGGAAAATATATGCGTAAGATCCTTCTGGGTGCTTTATCTAGAGATCTTCTTTCTCCAAAGTTAATTAAGCAATCATGATGCTAGCTTTGGAGACTGGTGTTCTGATCGATATCTCCTGTATATTTTATTACTTTTTCTCTGTCTCATGTTTTCCGTTTCCTTCATCATTGGAGATGTTATCKGAGTGGCCGTAGTGTCTTGTCACAGAAACTGTCACAGTGGGAGTTTAACCTGCGGTATATTGGAAAGCTAGACAGGGAGAGAGAGGGTAAAGAAACACAAGCCCGTTTGCAAGCCAATATAACTTTCCGTCCTTGACAATGTCCACTTCTTCTTCGCATCAATATATCGCAGCAAAATAAAACCGGAGAGCCGCTGCAGAAACTGGGTGAATTTCCAGGCTGCTCCGTGCAGACATCTCGTCCCGAGCGGCGGGGGCAGGCTGCCTGGCCGCTCCGGGGCTCTGCCTGAGCTGTCTGCCCACAGCCTTCCTTACATTTAAAAATCTTCACTGCGGACACGTTATTTCCTTAAGATAACACAATATGTACACGTGTGCTTGAGCAAATATAGATACAGATATCCATCAGTTGGTTACAAGTATGTGTGTGTGTGTGTGTACGTATAAGATATATGTGTATGTACATCAATTCTACATCTGGACTAGTTTTTCACTTTCGTACTCAGTTTACACCCAGACGCTCACGCATATGTGTATATGCTTATAAAAATGTACGCCTGCGTGTCTTTGCTCCGTGCATGTCTCCCCTCTAGGGCCGCCTCTACATACCCCGTCCTGCCGAACCGCGGGGCCGGCACTCTGCCTTGCCTTTACTATTTCCCGGACGAAGCCAGCTCTCTGGTACCCCAACAGGCTGCTCCTTGGCGAACGGCCTCGTCCGCAGAGACTGTARGGCATTCCCAGCAGAGATCCCGCAGACCCACTAGCAACAAGACCCCGTGTACCTTCGGCGCAGGGGCCGCCCGAGGTCAGCCTGACTCCTCTCCCCGGGCACTGAGTTGATTTTCATCCTCTTCCCACCACCCAGCGCTTCCCTCCGATGTACCCCCACCGCCTCTGCAGAGGGGCCGGAGAGCGCATTAAGCTGCTGCAGAAATTGGACCACAGTTCTTGCTGCCTTCTTTCGCTAACTCCTCCATCTCTATCTTTCTTTCTTTAATTTACGACCTCTCAGCTCCTGTTGACACAGTTTTCCACACTGCCAGTATTGTAGAACTGCATTGTAATATACGCCGAATCAGCCTAGGCGTCAGCCAGCACAAATAAGGGTGGGTATTTTATATTTCGCAGCTATTTAGTATAGCTCGGTTCCTTTTGAAGACGGCAACAATGCACCTCGCCTGCGAGTTATCCATGACATAACTTACAGCTTGAGATCCATTTTCTTTTGTAATATCTGCAAGCTTAGCAAAGCAAAACACCTAAATAGCTACAGATTTCCTCCTTGGCCTGCCCGTTAAGCAAACTTTTAATTACTCCCTTTCTATAACTAAACCTGCTTTCTGCAGATGCTGGTCTTCTTTATTGCAGAAGCAGGAATGCTGAGAAATATTTATATATTTGTTAGCAAGAGCTAGAAAATTAGCTTGGAACATGCTGTAAAAAATATTCGGTTACTTACCGATCATACCAATTAAARAAGAGCGAAACAATTTCAGTCGCGTAAGTTGCTCGGGTGACCACTGGTGAAGGTGCATAGGTGCAGCCAGCAAGCTGGAAAAGAATCAGTTAGAGTCGAACTTACTGTTAATGTCTCAAAACAATTCTTTCTGAAAGAAAATACCGTGCCCATCCAAGCCTCGAGCGCTCCGCTCCCTCGGTCAGTCAGCAGGCGCGCTGCCGGAGCCAGCCCATGCGAAACCGGGACGCAAGGCAAGGAAAAGTAGCTTCGCCACCAGTGATTTCGTAGAGTGTATTAACCAGCAACACAAGTATAAGCCGGAGTGCTGCTGGGGCATCGATGAAGTGCCCTCCGAAGCCGGTTTTATTTGTTCCATTACCGGACCGGCAAAAAGCACTTTGCCGAAGCAGCCTCAGAGCATATCAAGCTCTCACATAAGGCTTTTGCCAAGAAACTTCTTGGATCCGCACTGTACCTRGTTTGAGATTATCCGATATTTAAGTTTTAATGAGTTTGTAGGGTTTTTTTGTTGGTTTTTCAATTTTTTTTAATGCARATTTTACTGTAAGGCATCTGCTAAACACTTGCATTAACCTCTGCCTCCATGATAATTTTTCCCCCCTTGTTTTAATTACGTTAGGGATGCGGAGGGGCAGCCAATCCTAAAAGAGGAGCTCGGCAATTAGCAGAGCGAACATCAAAAAGTTTTATTGCGGAGGGCGGCGGGCCCCGCCCCCGCCCCGGCCATTGGCAGCCTCCGCTTCTGACGACATATATTAACCCGAGCGGCCCTAAACATGTAGCTGTACATGGAGATCGGGCCGGCGAGCCCTGCCAGTGCCCCGCGCCGCGCCAAGCCCCGCCGCCGCCCGCCGCCACCGAGCCCGGCCGAGCGGCGCGGATGCCCCAGAGGAGCGCGGGGGCACTGAGCCGAGCGGCGCGGCGGGCAGCGATGCGTGCGCCCTCCCAGCACTGACGGCCCCGCCGCCGCGCAGGGCAGAGCCAGCGCCGCCCKCCCCGAGCCGGGGGCGCATGGAGGGGGGCCGCGTGTAAGTACCACCCGACCGGGCCGCGGCGGACTTGGCGAGAGCGGAGGGAATCAAGAGGCGAGGAAGATCCCAGGCTGGGAAGCCAAGCCATTTTGTTTTGGTCGACATCTCTCCGCAGCTTTTTTTTTTTTTTTTCTTTTTT